ACCGTGGGTTCCCATGACGGTAGGGCCAGGCGAGGCACAGCTCCACCAGCCCAGCCCAGCCCAGGCCATGCCACCCAGAGCTTTGCTGTCTTGAATCCTGTCCCAAGCTCAAGCAAGAGGGGGGCCCACTTCCCACCCTGCCGCTGGTTCTCAAGGCCTTTGAGGGCAGAGTACCCAGCTGTGCCTGGAACTCTGGTTGGCTGAGGTGGGGGGCCATGCAATTTCCCAGCAAGTGTGTACAGAGGACAGAGCAGTGGCTGCTCAGTGGGGTCCTGCTTCGGGGGCTGAGGGCCCCAGGAGAGAGATAGCTGCCCGCCGCCAGCCCCTGCTGTGGCTGCAGACCCTGCTCAGTGCTGGGAGGGCTTCCAGGGAGGCGCCAGCCTTGTTCTCTGCTGTCTTGTCTCTCCCTAGAGGAGATCGCCAAGCACAAGGGGCCCCCGGTGTTCACCCAGGAGGAGAGGTACAAGATGGTGCGGGCCATCAAGTGGGTGGATGAAGTCGTGCCGGCAGCTCCCTATGTCACCACGCTGGAGACGCTGGACAAGTATAACTGCGACTTCTGTGTCCATGGCAGTGAGTGGGCGGGGCTGGGGCCCAGAGGCCTGGGGACCTGGGCGGGCTCAGGATCTGACCGCAGAGGGGCATCTGGAGGTGCTGGCTTCCTCACGCTGGGGGAGCATGGAGCCGTTTGAGGATCTGAGGAAGCTCTGGGTCTTTCCCTAGAGAGGAGCCCGTGAACCCTAGGGCAGGCCTGTGGCAGGGGGTGTGGGCCCTGGAGGTCTTCATGGCTCTGGGTTAAGGTCCTCGTTCTCACATGTGCATCACCTTAGATGACATCACGCTGACTGTAGATGGCCGGGACACCTACGAGGAAGTGAAGCAGGCTGGGAGGTACAGGTAAGGTCCACCTGCCATGGGCCCCACCCCTTCAGAGCACCCCTCGAGCTCCCTCTGCCTGTGAGGGCAGTGTGTCTGTACTGGCTGGTGTGGTGGTCACAGCACAGGCGGCCACTGGGCAGCAGAAACACGGGGGTAGGACTGGGAAGCTGGCTTTTATGTAAGTGACATTAACCGAAGAGGCTGCTGTGGCCAGCAGTTTGTGTGGGACAGCACAGCCTGGAGTCCCCTCAGCAGAGAGCCTGGGGTGAGGGCGTCTGGGGCGTCAGACAGTGGGCACAAGGGTACCAGAACCACGCCCGGGCATGGCCTGCCCACCCCCACACTGCAGGCTTGGGGCTCGGTACGGTGTTCCTCTGTCTTGTCGTCTTTTCTGCTTGATAGAATTACAGTGGTCTCTCCACCCTCCCGGCCGTGATTTTTGTCACGGGCGAGAGTGGTGAGGAGACGCCCTGTCCGTGCACAGCATGGCAGGGGCGGACCATGGTGGGCTCTGCCACCAGCAGCATTGCCCTTAGGTTGGGTGAGTGGAGGCAGAGCCTGGTGGCCCTGTCCCGGATGAGAGCCCCGACCCCACCTCCGTCTCCAGAGAGTGCAAGCGCACCCAGGGCGTGTCTACCACGGACCTCGTTGGCCGCATGCTGCTGGTGACCAAGGCCCATCACAGCAGCCAGGTGAGGCTCCGGGGGCCCGAGCAGGGTCCCCGAGGTCCCGGGGCTGGAAGGAAGGGCCCCAGCACAGCAGGCCTGGGGTCCTGCCCTTGGCCACATCTGCAGACCAAGGTCCCTCAACCCCCGCCCTTCTGTGCAGGAGATGTCCTCCGAGTACCGGGAGTACGCGGACAGCTTTGGCAAGGTGAGTGTCGCCTGTGCTGCCTGGGCCACTGCCTGACCCCCAGGTCCCCCTGGGTAAAGCTGGCCTGGAGCTGACCCCCTGCCCTGCGCTCCCTGCTGACCAGGCACTGACTGGGTCCTGATTGCTGGCTGGCGGGTCTCAGGGCCACTGCCTGCAGGAGGAGTGGGGACTACCCGCTGATAGGTGGTCTCTGACCAGGCGGCCTGGTCCCCTCTCCTTTCGTAGCTCCCTCACCCGACACCCACCCGGGAGACACTTTGCTCAGAAGGCTCCTCCCAGGTGACCAGATGGTGGCCTCAGGGTGCCAAGTCCCCAAGAGGGCTGTGTCCGCTGGCCCATTCCTTGCAGGCCAGTTGCCAGGCCGAAGTGGTGTTGGCTGCGGTACCTGCTGTGGCCATGGGACAGAGCCACAGTCCCACCGGCCCAGCCTGGTCGCTACTGGTCAGTCTGTGGCGTCCTTGCCTGAGATGCCTGCCTAGAAACAACACCAGAGCAGTCAAGTGAGCTGGCAGGCTGTGGCTAGGGGTTCCAAGTGGTGGCCTGTAGCCCCCGTACCTGCTTCCTCCATCCCACGCCTGTGCTTCCCAGAGCAGACAGACAGGCGGGGCAGGCAGGCCCAGCCTCAAGAGAGGTGCTCTGGGGTGGGCACAGGTAAAGGACGTGCCTGTGAGTCCTCTGTCACCAACCCAGGCTTCTCTTGGCTTACAGTGTCCAGGTGGGCGGAACCCCTGGACGGGGGTGTCCCAGTTTCTGCAGACATCCCAGAAGATCATCCAGTTTGCTTCCGGGAAGGAGCCCCAGCCAGGAGAGACGGTTATCTATGTGGCTGGCGCCTTTGACCTGTTCCGTATCCTTCAGGACCGGTTTGGGGTGGCCACTGCCCCAGGCCTGTCGTCCACGACTCCGTGTCTGCTCCAGTGGGCTGCGGGATCTGGTGGGGTCCCCCTGGCCCTCAGGGGTCCGGACCTGGGCGGGGTGCAGGGGCGCAGTGTCAGCAGGGAGAGGCGTGAACAAGTGGTGGGCAGCTGCTCCCCACCCGTTACCGCTCCTTAACTGGGCACAGACATCGGGCACGTGGACTTCCTGGAGAAGGTGTATGGCCTGGCGGAGAGGCCCTACGTCATCGCCGGCTTGCACTTTGACCAGGTCCCACCCCCAGGCAGCTGATAGGCGGGGGGGTCCCTGGAGGGGCTCCTAGGGCTGGGCTCCCGGCGAGGCCCAGGGTGCTGATGAGGGCAGAAGGGATAAGCTAGGACCTCTTCCCGCTGAGAGAGCCCCCGTCCAGGGCTACCCGGCGCTGACGGATTGTCCCCCCGCTTCCCGTGAGGGACTGTCGGGTGGGAGCACAGTACCCCGGCCCCCGCCTCCACCGCAGCTTGCCTGCTGACCTCAGCTTGCTCTGGCTCCAGGAGGTCAACCACTACAAGGGGAAGAACTACCCCATCATGAACCTGCACGAGCGGACCCTGAGCGTGCTGGCCTGCCGGGTGAGTACGGGTGCGGGCCTGGTCTGTCTCCTTCCCAGGCTGGAGCGGCGCCCCCTCCCCCTCAGCCCCACCCCTGCTGCTTCCTCACCAGAAGCACCCCTACCCCACCGCGGCCTGGCTTGTCCCGGCTAACCAGCTGTCTCCCCGTCCACACAGTATGTGTCCGAAGTGGTGATTGGGGCCCCGTACTCGGTCACGGCGGAGCTGCTGGACCACTTCAAGGTGAGGCTGGGGCCCCAGCGGGGTGGCTTCCAGGAAGGGCAGCTCTCTGAGGGCAGGGGGCCATATGGGGTGATGCTGGGAGGTTGCCTGACCCCCACCTGCTCTCCAGGTGGACCTGGTGTGCCACGGGAAGACAGAAATCGTGCCTGACAAGGACGGCTCTGATCCGTACCAGGTGGGTCTTGCTGGCGTTTGGTGCTTCCCAGCTGCAGACCGTGCGTCCGGGAGCCAGGTGTGGTGACGGCTGCCACTCTGGCTTCACAGTTAGAGGAGGCAGGCGGCTGACGGGGGAATAACTGCCCTCACAGTCGGGGAGTGGGAGCCTCTGGGCCAGGGCGGCAGAGCAACCGCCTCTGACTTCCTCTCCACCTCCAGGAGCCCAAGAGAAGGGGCATCTTCTGTCAGATCGACAGTGGGAACGACCTCACCACCGATCTCATCGTCCAGCGCATCATCAAGAATAGGTGAGGTCTCGGTGAAGCTGGTGGGGGTGGGGTGCCCCGCGGCCCGGGGCCTGGGCGCACCGCTCACCTGGCCTGGCCCCCAGGCTGGAGTATGAGGCTCGGAACCAGAAGAAAGAGGCCAAGGAACTGGCCTTCCTGGAGGCTATGAGGCGGCAGGAGGCACGGCCCGAGGGGGAGAGCGACTGTGACTTCTGACAGGAAGCAGGAGGTCACCAGGGGCCCCCCGAGCACCGGCCCTCGCCCAGCCGCATCTCGAGAGCGTGGTTCAGTTTTTAACAAAGCTGCGATGCCCTCTCCTCCGACCACTCGGCCTTGGAAGGGCTGATGTGGAGGATGCTGCCTCCCGGCCTGCCTGCACAGGGCCTGTCTCCCTGTAGGCCCTCGTGCCCTTCCTGCTAAGCGGCCAGAGAGGGTGTCTGGCACAGGAGCAGCCCGGTAGGCAGGATGAGCAGGGGCACCTTCGGCCAGAGGGGTGCCACCCTGTGTGCCAGGGAGGCCCAGCTTCCATCTGCCCGGCTCCACAGCTGCTTCCCCGTCCCGCCCCCTGGAAGCTCCTACGGACCCTAGCCGCCCCCCCCCACTCCTCACGGCATTCCTGCCCACTCAGCCTCTGGGGGAGCCCCAGGGGGCCCCTCCCGTCCTCCTCGGAGTGCAGAGCGTGCCCCCTCCCATATGGGCGGCCCCTGCCCCGCGGCATGTCCCTTCTGCCCCAGAGCCTGGCGCCCAGACGCCACGCCCATTGCTAGCCGGGCCAGCCTCGCTGCTGTCACAGACTGTTCTCGATTTTGTACCTGATTGGCTGGCCTGCAACTGAATAAACCTGCTGTGAGGTGCTCCGCGTCCGGCTCTCAGCCCTGCTGGGCGGGACCAGGGAACCCAGCACCTTGGCCCTGCTCCCCGGGGCCCATGCAGCAGGGTGGGGGCAGGAGGCATCAAGGAACCCCCAGATCTGCAGCCCCAGACACCTCGGGCTGCCTCCCACATGGCAGGCTACGGGAGAGGAAAGGAGGTGAGAGTGGGCAGAATCGCCCGGCCATGGGTCTGCCACGGAGAAGCGAAGGGCTGGCGCCTGCAGTGTGCAGGCCACCTGAGCTGGGCCCATAGCATCTCAGGGTCTCCTGCACCCAAGTCAGGGGCTTTGGCCCCCTCTTGGCAGGGTGCTGGGGAGGGTGGCAGTGGTGTGTCTGATCTCCTGGTGTTTAAAAGTAAGGGTTGTGGTGCTCTGTCAGCCTACTCCCCGTTCCGTCCAGAGTGGCTTCTGCCCTTCAGCAACTGGGCCCAGTGGGGCCGGAGTGGCCTGTGGCCTGGCGCCATGGGAACCCTGGGCCAACATTCACTCTTTCCAGAAGGTGACTGACCCTGTCTTGTCTTTTTAGTTTCCAAAGTCTGATAGAGAACCCCTTGCAGGACACTGAAGTGAGGTGGCTGTGCGTGAAGGTTCAGACACACGGGCTGGGCAGGGACCACCCTGCTTTCCTTTCCTCCCAGGTCAGGGGCGGGCCTTCCCTTCATTCCCACCCCACCTGGCCCCCAGCTTTAGGAGTCCGGTGGTGCCAGATCTTCCCATGCACAGAACCCTGGGCTGCAGGGATCAGCCTGCCAGCTGTAGACCTAGTACGGGAAGGACACAGGCGTGGCCGGTGGGTTCCTCTCGAGACTGCATGGCACCCCAAGACGGGCCTGGAGGACTGCCTGCAGCAGCAGACAGGAAGCCCCCGCTCGGCCATGGGTGAAGGAGACTCCAGGCCCGGGGGTTCAGGAGGTTGGCGCCCTGAATACTCGACCACCCGTGCGCAGCAGGCTTTTGGGTCCCACCCACAGCACTCAGGCAAGGGACCAGCGCTCGGGTCCCCACTTCATGTTTGTTCCCGCTGGGACCCAGCAGTCCCACAGGTCCCAGTTCATGCTCTGAAGGGAATTCAAAAGCCTGCTAAAACTTTGATGAGAAAAGGAGGTAATTAGCCTGAGTGTGGGGCGGGGGAGGCCACTCCCAGGACACGGCTTTTGCGCTCAGGGGACCCATGTCCCTGCACGGGCCCTCTAGGCAGGGCAGCACCCATGGCTTTGGGGACACTGGCTTCCCTGTGGTCAGAGGAGGGGTGAAGGAGGAGCTCCCAGGCTGGGGGCTGTGCTGTCTGCCTGACACCGGATTCTGGACTGCAAGCCGGGGCTGTCTGCACAGTTGTCAGTCCCTCCTGCTGCACCCAGCCTGGCCATTCGTTTGGCACAGGGTCTCACTGGTGCCAGGTGCTGTGCTGCGGCGTTTGGGAAGGCTCTGGAAAGGAGCGGCCCAGGAGCTGCCCCTCTAGTAAGGGAGGTCTTTGGCCTCAAGAGACCCAGGGTTGGGGGCAGGAGGGCCTCCTGGTGTGGGGTGTTCTGGGGAGGCTCCTATGAAGCAGGACATTTGGGCTGGCTGAGTAGATTTGACAGCTCCTGAGGGACACAGGCACGTGTCCCAGGAGGACCCAGGAGCTGCGGGACAAGACCGGGAGAGCAGTCACAGTGGGGTTCCCAGCAGCAGGGTTTGGGGAGCATCTCGGGCCTGAGGGGCCTGTCTGTGCTCCCAGGTGGGCAGAATGGGGTCTGGAGACTCGGGTATGTGTCCACTCCCACATTCCCTGTGGCACCCACCCCTCTCAGAGGCTGCACGTCACTACTCATTAAGCTGTTTACTGCGGGGACAGGTGGGTGGTACTGGGTACCATCTCCTGCTGGGGCAGGGGCCGGGGTGCCCGCGGGAGCCAGGCCAGATCCAGGTTTCCAGGTTAGGGCTCAGGCACTGTGACAGTCGGCTGCGCGGAGTGACAAGAAGACGTCTGCCTCGCACTGGAAGGTGGCACGGCCGTCGGGCAGCCGTTCGCAGCTCTGCAGGTTCGGGGTGACGTCCTCGACGCACACGGTCTAGGGGCAGGAGGGGGATGAGGGGGCGCCCAGCACTCCAGCGCCCTGCACCCCCACACCCCGCACCCTCCAGTGCCCCGCACTCACGAGGCCCCGCAGCCTGGGGCGCAGCTCCCGGAAGGTGAAGGCTTGGCCTGGGGGTTTCGTGCCCAGGGGGGGCTCGGAGCGCCGTGCGTACGGTGACCTGCGGAGGCCGGACAGCAGCCCAGCGGCACGGCCCACCGAATAGTAGCCCAGCCCCGCTGCCTGTTTGTACCACGCAAGGCCCGCAGGCGTCAGCATTAGGCACAGCGCCAGGGCAGCGACCACCAGCGTCATAGGCCGGGCCATGGGGACTCGGTGGCGGCGAGCAGCGGGGCGCGCAACAGCAGCACGGGCTCCTTATATCTGCAGCAGGGGCGGGGCGGGGCGGGGCGTGGAGGCGGGCGCTGGGGCCACCACGCCTCCCCATCCCCATCCCAGAGGGAGAAGCCAGGGAAAAGCCGCACAGGGCTAGTGCCCTGGAGGCGCAGCAGACGGGCCCAGGGCTCGGTGGGGGTGGGATGCCCCCATCCTCTCCAGCCCGCCCATCATCTCCCCTTTTGGACCCTGCCTGCTCTTGCTGGGAGGGGCCCCAGGCTCCCCCTACTGACCTTAGTCCAACCTGAGTCAAGCCTAAGTGGGAGCAGGGGCAGCAGTGCTGAGGTGAAACCCCACAATCAGTGCCCCAGCCCTGAGTCACCCCGAGGGGTCCCCAGCTCTCATGAGGCTGGAGAACCACTGACCGCACTGTGCCCAAGGGACAGGGGACAAAGGAGCAGATCGCACCCTAAAGGGGAACTGACCACAGGAGACTAGAGTTTCTAGAGAAGGCAGGGAAGTCCTGGGGGCAGTGGCCAACTTCACACCTGTCGGAGGTTCTACCACTGGTCTGGTCCTTAGAGCCGGTGGCAGGACAGCCAGGATAGCTCGCCGGGCTGAGGGGGCGTTAGGGGAGTTGAGAATGTTTGCAAAGGTGGGTGCTGTGACCCTGTGTCTCCTTGTGGGAGGGAGAGCTGAGCTCAAGGGACCCTGAGAGGACCTTGCAGAGGGCTGGACTCCAGATGTGTGCAGGGCCCGGCAGGGCAGATGCCCGTCCAGCTCAAGAGGACCAATCAGGCCCTGGGAGGACCAGGCTGGATCCCAGCAAAGTGTGGAGAGGAGCACCCCAGAGCCCCACAGGGAAGTGGGGCCTGCCGCAAGCTGTGGCCTCCCTGCAGGGAAGTGCATGTCCCCACACGCGTGCTAAAAGCCCAGAGGCGGGGCTCAGGGGTTGGTGCCCCAGGCACATTGCTACTTCCTGACACAAGAGGAAATTTCCCAGGGAAGGCAGAACTCCAGGGAGGGGTGGTGGGCTGGGGGGGCCACCAATGGGACGCTGCAGCCACCACAGCCCACCTTCCAGTGAGGACTGGTCTTCCCTGCTGGGCTGGCCTACAGGGCTCCTTGCTAACCCTGGATCTGGACACTGTACACAGAGGGCCCTAGAATACGGAGCTGCTGCCTAGAACCTAGCAGCCAATGGGGGGCACCCAGGAGGCTGAGCCCAGGCCTGAGAGGGAGGGCACCCGGCAGGTGATGTCAGCCACAGGCTTTCCTCAGTGAGCTCTCCAAACGTCCTGGTCACCTCCCTTTCCCAGGACAGACACCAGCACAGGGACCCTGGTAGCTGGGTTTCTGGGTAGGGGGCACATGACCTCCAGGTTCTGTGAAGGTGATGGTCCCAAGGCCTCCTTTTCCCTGGGCACAATGCCTGATGGGAAGTATGCTGGCACACGGGGGACCACGCACCGCCCGGTCTTCTCCTCTGTGGACTGCAGACAGGTGGAGGTGACTGGACAGAAGGGGTTAGGGTTAGGGTGACCCCAAGGGAGGAGGTTATCCAGAAGAGACTGGAAGGAGCCAGTGCCCAGAGACTCCCTGCAGCTCATGGGACACGCAGCCTGCAGCAGTCTCCATCCAGAAGCTGCTTGAGACTGCCGGGGTTGGAACTGTTGCCCCCGAAGGGCCACCACCCCATGGAGCTGTGGCAGAACAGAGATGCCCAAAGACCTCCCAAGAGCTGTCTTTCTCTCAGTAGGGAGGCCCTTGACACCTGCAGACACACATCCTGATGTCAAGGACACCAGCACTGAAGAGTCAACCAGGGGACTGAGAGCCTTCCGGCAGGAGTAAACCTACCCGTGGCTGCCCACTGTGTCCAGCAAAGGTCCTACAGACCAGCCTGAAGGGTGGTCCCCAGGGCCTGGGCTGCAGGCCTCTGCTCCACTGTTCCTCCACCTCCCCCGTTGGCAGGAACATGCCCCAGGGCCTTGGCACCGCCAGGCTCTTCCAGCCCCCTGAGCTAGTCACTCCTGCCCCCTGCTCCTCTGGCTCTTTCTCTTCCAGGAGCCGTGACTCAGGGCCTCAGTGGCATTGCATCGAGATGTTTATTCATGAGAATTTTCATATCAACGCACACAGAGGCCGAATCAGCGCCAAGAAAACAAGCAGCTAGAGGCCTCCAGCCAGACTCGGGGTTTAATGAGTTTTACTTATTGGATAAACTGTCAACGTTGTAATGAAAAAAAACACAAAGGCAACGCCAGGCCTCGTTTCACCCCATTCCAGCCCAAAGGGGGCCGTCGCAGGGAGAGGGGCCTGCGGTGGGGGGGGCGTCTGGGCAGCTGGTCCTCACTCCTTGAACTTCCACTCCTGGCGGCACATGGGGCAGTGCTGCTGCACCTGCTGCGCGTTGAGCCACTTGAGGATGCAGTGCATGTGGAAGCAGTGTGAGCACTGGCCCCACACCAGCGGGCAGTCGTCACCAGGCACCTTGCCTGCGGGAGGGGCGGGGGAGTTACACAGTGAGTGACAGCCGGGAGGCCCAGGGCGCCAGCCCACTGACCCTGGGGGACGGGGACGTGAGCCCATGGCAGCCAGAGCCTCAGACATCAGGAGCGACACCAATGATGTGGCCACTCTCCCCCGCCCCCACCCCCACAGCCTCCGGCTGCTCCCACTTTCACTCTCCCCCCTCCCCAGGCAGGGCCGGGGCAGCTCGAGTGGCTCCGCGCAGGAGGAGCTCTGGCCCGGCCCACAGGCCCCACCAGCAGCCTCCCAGGGCCCTGGCCCACCTGCACACTGCAGCCCTGCCATCTGGCACCTGAGATGCCAGGAAGGGGACCGTGTCCATGTGCCCAGGCGACCGCAGAGGAGACACCTCTTGGTGAAGGCTAAGAGGCCTCAGGACCCCGAGGGCTCCTTTCTGAGGCAGCAGGGGTCCAGTGCAGTAGCAGGAAGCCGACTGGGAACACTGGTGCTTACGGCCCCGCCTGCCAGCAGCTGCGAGTGAGCACGGCAGGACCTCCCCTCTCTGCCCCCAGCCTGAAAGGATCCCAGCTCAAAGGCCAGGGTACCCGCTGCTGGCACCCCACCCCACACACCTGGAAATGCTACCTACATGGAGGGGACTGGCACTGCCCATGGTCCAGAGAAGCAAGTGTCCCTCCGATTTTCAAGACTCTGGAAAGCCCTATCAAACAGCTGGTGCCAGAAGAGTGCAACAGCCTCCCCATGCCCCAAGCCGGGCTGTGGGCACCAAGGAGCTACAGCTCGCTCTCTCAGGGGTGCTCCCCACCACTGACCTGGGCCTCCAGGCCCATCAAGCATGAGCCATATCCAGATGTCACTGGTGCACAAACACAGGGGGCAGGATGGACAGGCCAGGCCTGGAGGAGCAGGGGACATCTTGTCCAGGAGGTGGTTGAGTGCAAGTCTGGGACCAACCCCTGTGACCATAGGGCCAGCCTGGAGGCCTGTGTTCCTGGTCCTCACTCTAGACACCAACCCCCCCCCCAGGGATGCGTGATCCTGCAACATGTCACAGAGAGGACGACGCTCTCACAATCCCACGAAGCGCTGGCTCCACGCTCAACTGGGAGCTGGGAAGCCAGCCTCGAGGCCCGCCTCACGGGGGTCTGCAGCCTCCGTGTCCCTCCGCCCGGCAGACAGGAGGCCAGGGCCACACGGCTGATGCGGGAGCTGCCACTTCTGAGGGGAGCATTTGAACCAGGTAGCTGGTGTGGGCGCTGGGTCCAAGGGTCCTTCGACAACTGAAAACATGCACCTCCTACGCAGCCCCCCGAGCAGCCCCTGCTCCGTGGCACACACACATCCCTCAGAGTCAGAGGAAAAAGGCCGCTGCCATCTGCTCGTCTGCTTGTCTGGGGTGGTGTTCCTCAATCTTAAAAAATCCTTTCTGTAACAAAAATGTCACTCCCTTTCTGAAACTTTTATGATAAAACAACCAGAAAATCACACACCTGCCATATACAAAGTTATCTACCTCACTCCGCTTCCCAGCCCATGGGGATGGTGTGAGAGGACCCTGGGCTCACAGAGTGTGACGCCTGATTGAAACAAGCCCCCCACCGCCCACCTGCAGAGCCCTTCCAACCTCAGCAGAACTATGTTTGGAATCACCTCTAACACATGAGAGTCCCTTAAAAATGGAGGACAGAAAGGGTGGGCAGGGCCGGCGAGCCCACTGATGGGGGTCTGTGAGCCAGGCCGTCCCGTCCATTCCCACAGGGCTCGTCTGGGCGAAAGAGCCGCCTTCTCTCTAGTGACAGTGTGTGCAGGCAGCCTGTGGGGGACGTCTGATAGCACAGGCCAACCTTGGCGCTGACTCGCAGAGAAACCCAGTGTCACTTCACCTGCGCAGAAGGCACGCTGGGCTTGCCAAACACTCTGCTCCCGACAGCTGGCTCACTCTGACTCACAACTAGCAGGTCCAAAGCCCTCTTCTCAGCAACCGACACACCTGAGCCAGGCCCGCACACCGGGGATGCTCAGCCACGGGCCCCATCCCCCCCCCGGGGCCACCTCCAACACACAGGCCCACTCCCCACATTTTGTGGCACAGCCACAAAACTGCTTTCGAGGACTTTTCAGAGGCCCAGTCTGCTGCTGAGGAAGCTGCAACTACATGCCCCTCAGGGCTCCCACTGCCTGTGATGCACCCTTAGGAAGGGCGGTTTTAAACGGATTAAACAAGACCAGGCCCAGTACTTCCTACTCTCCAGTTCACTGTAACGTGTAAAACCCCATCAAGCAGAAGCAGTCGGTGATTTCCTAAACGACGTTGCACTGGCCTGATTACGTCACGAGGGGTTCACTCCTAGGTGGTGACGCCTCCTCTTGGCTGAAGCGCACGTGAAGATCACACCTAGGATGACGTCTGCACTGAAATTCAATGATTTGGATTTCAGTGTGAGAAGGAAACTCTCATTATTATTCTGGTGCTCACCTGGCCCCACAAGACAGGCCTGGTCACTAATGGGGCTGCCAAGAGCTACTCAGTGGTCCCCAAGCCCCACCTCCCTCTTGGGGCCACCCTTGTGCCCTAGGCAAAGGCTCAGATCCTTTCTTCTGTGTCCTGTTCACTTGGGTCTGACTAAAAACTAAAGTCACTGATGCAAAACTCTGTTTTTGACCTAAATATGTAACCACGCACTTTCACTTTACAGCACTGGGGACAAAGGAGTAACGCAAAAGACGACAAAGACACCTGACCAAACCCCACGGCAGGCATTCTACAAGACAACACTTTCTGAAAGAGTCAGACTGTCTTTTTAAAATGTGAGAGAAAAGTCAAAGCACAACTATTTTGGTTAAATAGCAAAGGGACAAGCAATCACACCTCAGGTTCTGGCTCACACCAACTTCTGATCAAGAGACACTTGGGGACACTAAAGAAATCTGAACAAGGACTAGGAAAGGGGATGGGCAACAATAAAGAATTACTGTCATGTCGTCTGATGTGACAACAGTGACAGGTAAAAAGTCAGCACCACATTTAGAGACGCAGGTAAGGTGAGCGGGGTGACAGTAGCATTTACTTTATGACTAGTTTTTCTGTTTGTTTTTTGCCTTTTTGTTTTCTTTTTTATGAACCCGGGACCTGCTGCATGCTAAGCACGTGCTTTACCGCTGGGCCACATCCACTCCCCTAGCATTCACTGTAAAACACTGGGGGAAACACACATGCGTGGCAAGATAATACTCAGTGTCCTTCTATGTGCTAGATGGGGGGCAACCTCAGACCACTGCGATTGTGTCTGCTTGAGAACTTTCAAATAAGAGGCTTTGTTTTCCAGCGACGCTAATCAGGATAGAAACCTGTTCTATTTTTGTTATAAAAGTTTGGAAGAGGTCTCTATACAAATAGAAGCCCAAATCGCCTGGCTTTTTCTAGTAACTTTTCTTGGCGAAAGGAAATCAAACCCCAGGGACGTTAATGCAGGTATTTTAGGAGACACGCCAGGGCCAGCGAGTAGGCAGAGCTCAGGAGAGCGGGCAGGGGGCACTCACAGTCCGGGCAGCAGCCGTTGAAGGCCATCCGGCAGATGCCGCAGTTCTCGTCGTTGGCTACCCAGAGCCAAGTGGCCACGCCGTTCCAGCACTTGATCTTCACCTTCATGGCGCAGGAGCCTGCGGAGAGGGAAGAGACCACTGAGCTGCGCTGAGTCCGCGGGGCCACAGCACCTGGGCGCCAAAGAAGGGGTGCTGCCCGAGCCGGAGGATCAGCGCGGGCAGGAATCGTGGCCGAAGGAGCAGCACAGACTGTCTGCCAGGGGACGGAGGTGGGGGCCGGGTCCTCGGGAGGCCCGGGCGCCCAGGGTGTCCGGCGACCCCGCACTTCTGGCCCAGCGTCCACGGAAGGGCGCGCTGGCCTCCGCTGACACCGGGAAAACGTGCCGATCAGTACTTCCGAAAGGGACACGACTGGCCCGGGGTGGCCGAACACCCAAGCCCGCCCCCACCGGGCCGCGCCCCCT